GTCTGTCTGTCTGTCTGTCTGTCTGTCTGTCTGTCTGTCTATCTATCTACACTTATTGGTAGGCTGTGTGTGCTGTCTTGAGCTCCTAGAAGTAACGTCGCATATAAACCTAACAAAAACACAAGGCCGGAGGCAGCAGCATTCACAAGGAGGCAAGGGGGTGGTCAAACTAACAAAAGCGGTGTCGCTGTGCAAGGCCTGCCCCTTTTGGGCATCATGAAGTTGCAGGGATGCCCGAAAGAGGCAGGGGTTGCGGCACGATGACACGTTTCTTTGAGTCTGACGAAAGCCATGAGATCCTGCAAATGCTGCTCGTTGCAAGAGGCTGACATATGTGCTGAACTGAATGTTTTAGAAGAAGGTGTTTTCCTAAAGTTAAACCTCATACCTAATGACCAGTATATGCTGCTTATCCCACATTTCCATTATCTGCTCATTGTGGTTTTTTTTAATAGTGTTACATACTATATCTCAATTTTCCGAGTTCCTTATTTGGAGGTCAGATTTTTTTTTACAATTTACTGCTAATTCTGTTCAAAGCAGTGCAATTTTTCATTGCTGCCATTGTGCTGTTGTACTTTTCTTCCCTCCACATACCCTTATTGTCACCCAGTTTCAGTTTCTTGAATTTTCTACCCATCTCATTGCCTTTCCCAATCCCAGAGAAATCCTTGATTTCACTTACTGGAAATTGTTTATTAAGATGAAAATAAATACATTTTACTATATTTGAACTATGCATCTTTTATATAGAAGTTGTAAAATGGAAGTATAAAACATTTCATATTTTAAAAATTGGTTTTGTAATACATATTTTTATAATCCTTTTTGACTAGGCAAACAATTTTCCAAAAGCTATTGCAGCTGCACATACATTTCTTCTGAAACATCCGGACGATGAGATGATGAAAAGGAATATGGCATACTATAAAAGTATGCCTGATGCTGAAGAGTATATTAAAGATTTAGAAACCAAATCATATGAGGTACAGTTTCTACCCATCTTTCTGAACATTCCTGATTATATTCTATAAAAATATGTAAAAATAATAATTTTAGCTTGCCTATAGTTCCTTATTGTCATTGGTTAATAATAATAATAATAATAATAATAATAATAATAGCAACAACAATAATAGTTTTATTGTAAAAAATGCCAAATTATAGTCCCTTGACAATCCTTCACATTTAATTTACCAGTATCAAAGTATTGTTAGAAAGTGAGTCCTTTAATACAGAACTTTATTAGAAGACCCCATAATTCTAAGGCGATATAATTTTCATGGCAAAAAAAATATATGTAGTTGATAAGGTAGGGTCAGAGAAATGTCCTATTTGGATCTGCTGCCCAAGCAGAATGGAGTGAAGCAAAGGAAAGCTTCAGCTGAGTCTGCTCATAGTGATGGGGTCTTAAATCAGACCATTCAATTAAAATCTTTGCCACATTCTTCTGGTTTCTTCTTGTCTCTCAGACTCTCTTTGTCAGGGCAGTAAGGGCCTACAATGGAGAAAACTGGAGGACCTCAATTTCAGACATGGAATTGGCACTTCCTGATTTCTACAAAGCCTATGATGATTGTACAGCCGCCTGTGAAGGCTCCCGGGAGATCACAGATTTTAAGGAGTTTTATCTGTCTATCGCAGGTGGGTGGTCAGTTGTATTCTAAAGCGAGGAAAGCATTTCTTGAAAGAATCCTTATTTTCTAAATTCCACACCCTGTATATACTTTATGATTCCTTGATGCTAATCAGTTTTTAGCCAGTGGGGAG